AGGATTTTGTTGCTTTTAATGAAATTTAAGAGGATCAAAAGCACCGAATATGTTATAAAAATTGGATAAACGTTTGTTCGATAGGATTGGTTATTCTAATTTTTTTTGAAATTAATTTCAAAAGGCTGGATAATGTATAAAACAGGTTGACCATGAAGTTTCGAGGCTCGAAAGAACGACTGCCACGTTAAAAAATGCACATTTCTTTCCCCCCGTCTTTCGATAAGCGTTTTTTATATTTCCGGAAAGTACCATTCCAGTTGTTCGAACGCTTTGTAAGTAAAGCGTTATCGGTAATATATTCAAGGTGAACCGTATAATTAACAGGCGTGCAATTCTTAACCGATAACGCGTTTCAATTTATGTACCCGAGATCTTTCCAGGTTCGAACAGTTCCACTGCGAGTGTGTGGAATATTCCGTCGAGGCACTTTATGTTAATTAACGTTTGAAACAACGTTTAGTATTCGAGTACACGGCGGGAAATACGGCGCCCCGGCGATTCAAAATAGATATTCGCAGCTAACACGGCGAACTTTGCAACTAATGAAATGTTCTTCGCGGATCTGGCGAGCAGCATGGTTCTTTCATTTAGGGAGCAAGGTTCGAGAAAGCTTTTAACTTATTTAATCCTATCTCGCGAAGAGATAACTGTTTCCATAAAATTAGCTGCCCTCTACGCGAAACCATTTTCGCGTCAGGCTGCATGATAAATCGGACCGAGGACGCGATAAATAACTTTTTACGGTTCGATCGTGCCCCTGCTTTGCGATTAAAAAATAATCGAACCGAAATTCGATCGAGTTCTTTGTTTTATACGAAATATTTTTTAGTGAACTATTCAACGAAAGAGTGTTTCTCGTTGTTACGGCTAATTCTGTCGCCCTGAGAACGTACTGGACTTCCACATTATCGAGAATCAATAATTACGGTCGCTTGTCAGGGTCATTAATTATGTTTTTATTTCCCCGGGGCATGGGAGTGCGAGTTACTCGTTTTACAAGATGCATAAAAAGGAAAACGTAAAAATAAAGGCTGGTAAACAGATGGTATTATAACCAGAGGAAATTACATTGACTCAAAAGAAATTTTATAATTAATAAGTACTAGCAATATTCGTGCGTTTTCATACAGCTTCGAATCACTATTTTTAGATACTCTGCATTGAAATTTTCACGAAATTGGAAAGTAATAAATTTTAAAACTATTGGATACAAATGTCACGTGGCTGGAACAAGCGAATAACAAATGTGGCGGATGGGACGATTGAAAATTCTTATTGGAAACCTCTACGGATTCGAGATTATTCGAGGAACACCTGATATCTTTCCATCGAGTACGAAATTCGATGTCGTAGCAAGTGGTAGACATTTCGAGCGTTTCCTCAGGTCCTCTTCAAGAATTTCAATTAATTTTCAATGAAATAAATTATTTATAATCCGATTCTATCGCATACCAGTCGTATATAATCGATAGGAATTTCTCAAAATTCTTTGGGTGTGTAATGTCAAAGTAAATTGCAAAATAAACATAGAAGACAGCATAAATTATAGTAGTTGGTATGGCCATCGGATAGGGGATGAAATGCCCTTTAAAATGAGCGTTTAAACCAGTCGAAAGCGTAATTAGTTTCGGAGATATGAGGCTTCGAAGCTTTGTTTACGTTTCATTGTCTCGAGGTCAATGACCTCACAAATAGTAAACAGTGAAACAGAGAAATATTACGCTTTTACATAAATTACGATATCTCGAAAACGGAAAGTCCGATCGTCAAAAACCAAAAACCAGTTTAAAGAGGAAGGTTTATCGCTTACAATGGCGGCTTAATTATTAATAAAACCCTAGTAGTTTCGAAACTGTACGCGTCTAAAGTTTTAGTATTTTTAATACGCGTTGATAGCTCTTTTCTAAGGCAGTGAGAGAGTTCCTAGTGGAAATTGAAAAATTACCCTTTCACTTAAATTACAATATTTCCAAAACGGAAAATTCGACATAAATGAAAAAACTATTTCAAAGAGGAAGTTTTGTAGCTTCGAATGGTGGTTCAATTTCGGATAAAACGTGAGTAGTCTCGGAACTACACGCATCTAACTTTTTAGTATTCTTAATAAGACTATTGTAAGACGCTGAGTGGAATTTTAGAAATTACTCCTTCATTTCAATTACGAAAACCATTTCAAACTGGAAGATTTACCGCTTCTAACAGTGGCTCAATTATGCAGAAAACTTTTATACTGTTCTACGTCAATGAAAGCTGAAGATTCTCTCCTTTCATGTTTTATTTTTTACAAAAAAATATCAATTTTAGTAGGCAAAACATATATACATATTTCTCTCAGAAAACAATAAGATCTAGAAGTCAATACTGAAAAATTCATCGCACGTTTACTATAAGAAACATCGTGAAGTTAAATGGCTCTAAAATAACATTGCACGTTAATTCTAAACGAAATATTAAAAACGGTCGTTTGACCGTAGGTTTAGTGTTGAGTATTTGCATTCGCGTAGCACTGCGTGCAATTGTTCTATTATTCCCAACAGAACGCACGATGTCCAAAAAGAAATTCCAGAGCGACCTTGCCGCACTTGACTCTAATTAAAATCGAAATCGTCGACGATAACTGGAGCTGCACGACATTCTTTCGCGGGCCGTCGTGTCGGCCACGAGAATTGGGTCGTACGTAGAGAGGGTTTTGCACACCCGGTGGGATGAGCAGGCGGCGGTTAATTGGGTCATCGTCGCGTCACGTTTAACGAATGTTTAATTTGTCTCATCGCGAGGCCCCCCGGCTCAAGATTAATTTCGATTCGGTCGCGTCAAGTCTAATCGTGTCTTCGGTCTCGCCGGGCAAACATGATGTCAGAGTATCGATCCCTGTTACAGCACGAATTTATCATAACGCGACGACACACCAAATTCATCGGTTCGAGACCTTGGACTTTCCAGTCGATTTATCGTACGTACCAATTATGAGCTACGTCTACGTACTCCAGCGAATTAGGAACTCTGTGCCTCGTAGGTAAGACCGACGTACAAATATTGGGTTTCGATATTCATTGTCGATCTTGCGCATAATAGGAACAGGCACTCTAGCTGCAGTTATGACAGCAGCCACTCTTGGGAGTTTTCCTGCGTGCCAGATTGACATCCCCTATCTGTCACGTCGTTGCACGTTCCCGTGGCCTATTACATCCCCCTGGCAAAAGGTGTTCCATCAAACGAATCGACGTCGCCATAGGCAAAGATGCGCGGTACACGTGTTTATACGTCAACCGGAATTTAGTGAGTTTTTAAAAAGAACGATTCGATGTTACGAAACGACACTTGGAAATTCTATGCGTTATACGTATAATATCGTGAACGTTGCTCTAAAATTAACACTCTGAAACTCATCGATGTATCCATATCGTCTCGTTACGAATTATTTTTAATATTTCTCGATTAATCTCGTCTCAATTATTTCGCAATATTTTCTGGAAATTATTAGTATATATACATTTCTCCAAGAGATTTAAAATAAGTGATGAGACCAAGAAAATGAGGCCAAAAAATTGTATCCATATTTGGGATCACATTAGCAATCTATGTTTCTTTAGAAAGAGTTGAATTATATTTATTCTAAGTAAATGAACTACAGAAAACTGATTCGTTACTATTTCATGCCCATAGAATCGAGCATTTGAATGTTGTTTTCTGGCGATATTTCATCAGTTTTGTTTTATCTTGTGTATTGGAAGTGTGATCAAATTAATTTGGTTAGTAATGCCCCAGTGGAAGTTATGTAAGTGAGCAAGAAAAAGGCAAAATTTTAGCTTTTCACGAAAGTAATGTGAAAATACGTGAAATTGCATGTAGACCAATTCCAATTGACAGTATATGTGAGTAAAGTCTTTTATAAGGAAATAGTGTTCCCAATTCTAGATTATTATGTATACCGGTATGACAAAATATTTTTCCACGGGTTCGATTAACTTTTTCGCGTGGAATCGCTTCATTTCCGATCGGGTGTCATTCGTTACGGGACAACCTATATAACATTAATGTAACGCGTTATTTCTAACGAGAAAAGTTTCGGGTTTACTGTTATTCTCGAAGTAATTTCGTCCGATAACTTTAGTTATCGAAGTTATTTCGAACCTCGTTCAGATGCGACGTGTAGGAAATAAGACGAGCTGGAAAAATATAGAGGAAATAAAAGGGACCAAGTTTCCAGCGAACGCTAGAGGCTCTTTGCGTTTAAAAATCGAAGCAACGGTTGGATTAAATCTATTTTTAAAGCCGGGAAATTTTTTTGCAGCCAGTCGGAAGCGATAGAAACGAAATGGAAGCTCGCGTTAATTTATAATTAAGGGCTAGAATTATCAATAGCAATATTGGTTTCATGAAATTCATTTTTAAAGCATTTTAAAGGCTTAATTACTGATTCTCTTTCGTTCCTCGGTACCTATTTTCTATTCTTCGTTCCAGTTTCGTTGTGGCTATTTTTCTAAATCGCTAATTGTCAATCCTTTTTCTCTTATTATTCATTAATTTTTTCCCCAATTATTCGTGTCTTTTATATACTCGTAATTCGAGCATCTTTTTTATACGAGTTTTCAATTTGGCACGTTTTCGGGGCAGGAAAAGAGATTTTCTATTTTCTACATCTACGAATTTCTCTATTTAGAAACATTTTTATATTTAGGTGTTTTACATAACGGTACGTAGTTAATGTTTTCACGTCAAAAATTGTTCATAGATCCTTTTTGCACTACTTATCGAAATCATCTCCGTTATAAAAATGTGTTTAAATATAGAAATTCATAGATATAGAAAATAGAAAATCTCTTGTCCTGCCCCAAAACGTGCTAAATTGAAAACTCGTGAAAATTCGAATTAGGAGTACATATAAGACACGAATAGTTTCTTTTACAGAGATTTTGAAATTCTCTGTTTGTCCTATACACGCGTCTCTCTGAACACGATTTCATGAACTTACATCGTGGAAAAGAGCTACTCACCTCGGCGGGGAAAGCGTAGTTGTTGATTTGATGCTCCGAGCCATGATCGTTTTCCAGCCCGTAGTGAATGTAGATCTCCTCGAATTGGTAGTGATAGGCCAAAGGACCACCCGTTATATTGACTCGAACCTTTGCTTCCCGATCCGCTCTGAACACCAGGAACTGACCGGTGTTGTGCAAATGTCCAGAAACCTGTAAACGAAATTGATCGAATTCTTTCCAGTGTGAAAGCTTATGAAAATATATTTAAAATAGACTGTCGGAAGATATAGCATTGAATTTTCTTTTACAATACGTACAGGATGTCGTAGGAAAATATAGCAAACAAATTTGAACAAAATGAACGACGAAAAAAATTAAATTAAATTAACCTGTCGACGATTATTCGAATAACGATATTCGAAATTTTAATAGAAGATTCTAGAGGCCAAAATAAGACGAAAATCAAGAATATCAATTTGTTGATTGAGACTTCGTTAAAAAGTTATTAATGTTTAAAGTTCCGCCCATACTGATTTTTTTTCTAGAAAGTGAGTAGGATTTCGGGGGTATGTGTAATGACCAAAAATGATTGCAATCGACCCCTGCAATGGAAAATAATTTTTTTAGAACGATTTGAAAAATCTTTTTTTCGCCGAAAAATTTCAGCATCTACCCTAATTTTTTACTCGAAAGTGGGTAGGATTTTGGAGGTATGTCTATTCACCAAAAGTGATTATAATGGACCCCCGCAAATGAAAATAATTTTTTTAAAGCGATTTGAAATTTTTTATTTTCATCAAAAAATTTAGAAAACTTTTGAATTTTTTTTTCGAAAGTGGATAGGAATTCGGGGGTACGTCTATTCACCAAAAGTGACTATAATGGACCCCCGCAACTGAAAATAATTTTTTCAGAACGATTTGAAATTTTTTACTAACTTTTTAACGAAGCCTCAATCAGAAAATTGATATTCTTGATTTTCGTTTTATTTCGACCTCTAGAATCTCCCATTAAAATTTTCCCGAGGGGTGGTCGAACACCCTGTATGGCAATATTCGAATATTTGAATATTCGGAGCCAGTACCTATGTTGTATTAAATTAGTCGAACAATCCAGACCGTACGCGCTGGTCGTAATTAATAATAGTGCTTGCTCTGGGCAAGCAGATTAATCTCGATATCGTATTAAGTCAAAATAGATATCAGCAACAGTCAATCGCGAATCAAGATAGACATTGACGGGCATTGGCAATTACAATGTACTCGGTACGAAATTTGATTATCGAGTAATATCTGTGACAATACCAAGTTGCATAAGAAAAATACATTTTTGGATTTCTTTTCGCCTGCAAGCTATGTTCTGAAGTTTCACAAATAATTTCTAAATAGAGTGTGTTTTTTACGGGAATTAAAATGCACGTTAATCGAGTGAAATCGCGAGGGAAACATATTTGGAAATTCGAGGGTAGTTTCGTGGATATTGGTTTCTCGTTTCATAATATTATTGTGTTTCGAAAAATACAGTTAACGAAATAGAACAGAAAGTCGATAATTTAATTAATTCGACTAATATTTGAATAGCCAAGCGTCTGAGGATATTTATTATTCGAATATTTAATAATTTTAGAACCTCCAACCCTAATTTATATTCGTAACCAAACCGTAGTACGTATTGCTCTATTAGCGAGGGTAAAAAAAAGCATAAATGGTGATAAACGAAGCGGGGGGAAATATAAATTTCCAACGAACACTTTCCCTTGGTAAATAATATGAAGCTTCGCGCTTTCTTTTGCCTAACAGCTATCGTAATTACGATCCTGCGTTTATTTGCCCTTTCATTCGGCTCGAGGGCCGCGGAAATAAAACCGGCACGCTGGAAGCGGGGCAAAACGATACAGAGAAAAGGAAAACACGATGCACGGGATATAATTAAAATAGCATAACTCTATTAAGTCCCGCACGAAACGCAATTATCACGTATTACGCGTTCCGGGCAAATCATTTTCATTTAAATCACCTTTATCCCCCCTCTCCCCCCCCTAAAATTTCAATCCACGTTCATTAAATTAAAATTTCACGTATAAAATTCCGCCATAGTCGCCGTACTTTAACGAAAATTAATATGTGATCAAACTATCCCAAAAACGAACTCCAATCGAGTCTAAAAAACAGAATATTTCACAAGTTCTGTGGAAAAGTTCCTAATGGCACACATTTTTTTCCAAAAATTCACTCTTTTTCTCGAGCTCGTTAACAAATATTCACAGTACCTTTTTTAACGATATTATTCAACTTTAGCATACTGAAACGCGTAAAAAATTAACGTATCAAATTGACAAGTACAGTTTGCTTGGATTGTATTATTTTGATACTACTTTTACCATAAAAGTAAAATGGGGAGCGTAAAATTTCGAGGACAAATGGTGGACGCTTGTTGTTGTTCCGATTTGTATCTGGGAAATAAACTCGCTAAACGCAGAGCGACGTGTTTTCGATTCTAAAATTTGGACTTTTATCGTCGCGGGTAACTTCGACTCGTGTCGTAAACTCGGAATTAGTATTAGTCGTTTCCCGGGGAGCAAACGATCGGGTCCTAAACCAAACAAGGCTGACTTTTGTTGTGATTTCAGTGCTCGTTACCGGCCGAGCAGCATGAAAATTTCAAGAATACGTGCCGCGAATCGAAAGGACAGCCCGCCATAATGGAATATATCCGCCCCGGGGTGAATGAAAGCCAACGCTCGAAACGCGCGAATATGAAAATAGAATGCCAGGTTAAGTGAGACGAATCGATCTAAGTGCGACAGAAATTTTATGTATCGTTTGCTCATCGATTATCGCGATGAAACATTTCTTCTCGAACGAATACTCTTCATAACTTCTTTTTTTATTAGAAACATACATCCAACGACACTCTCGATAATGGAATATTTAAATATAGCAACGATTAATTAGTTTTCAAAGAGTTTTATAGAAACTGACGATATACCAGACTTTCAGAAAATAAAAGAGACGAATAAACAAATTTTTTACGGATTCAAATCCGACGTTTTCCAATTATGTACTTGGCAAGTGGTAAATTAAGGAAACTTGTTACTTGGAATGTTAAAAGTAAATTTAATGTTTTTGCGTTTAAAATAAAAGCTTTGGTAGTTGTTTGCTTTACGAAGTTACTGTTGCATCGCGATAATGGAATGTTTAAATATAGCAACGATTAATGATCGAGCCTTAAAATATATACTGAGACTAATTTTACAATTTACAAAGAGTTTTATAGAAACTGACGACACACGAGACTTTCAGAAAATAAAAGAGACGGATAAACAAATTTTTTACGGATTTAAATCCGACGTTTTCCAATTATGTACTTGGCAAGTGGTAAATTAAGGAAACTTGTTACTTGGAATGTTAAAAGTAAATTTAATGTTTTTGCGTTTAAAATAAAAGCTTTTGTAGTTGTTTGCTTTACGAATTTACTGTTGCATCGCGATAATGGAATGTTTAAATATAGCAACGATTAATGATCGAGCCTTAAAATATATACTGAGACTAATTTTGCAATATTCAAAGAGTTTTATAGAAACTGACGACACACGAGACTTTCAGAAAATACAAGAGACGGATAAACAAATTTTTTACGGATTTAAATCCGATGTTTTCCAATTATGTACTTGGCAAGTGGTAAATTAAGGAAACTTGTTACTTGGAATGTTAAAAGTAAATTTAATGTTTTTGCGTTTAAAATAAAAGCTTTTGTAGTTGTTTGCTTTACGAATTTACCTTCAAATATATACTGAGATTAATTTTTGCAATTTTCAAAGAGTTTTATAGAAACTAACAATACAGGAGACTTTCAGAAAATAGAAAAGACGCATAGAGGAATTTTTTTACGGATTTAAATCCGACATTTTCTTTACTACTCGGCGAGCGGTGAATTAAGGAGACTTGTTATTTGGAACGTTGAAATGTAAATTTAATGTTTTTTGCGTTCGAAATAAAAACGTTCGCAGTTGTTTGCTTTATGAATTTACTGTTGCGCCGCGACACGTGCATCGTAAACATCAACTACCACTTACTCGGATCATATCGTAGGATTAAGAGAACCACGGTTTCATCAGGATTAAACGGTCATTCCGCTTTGGGAGTTCAGGGAAAAGCTTAGCGTGTAAGTAAAACGAAGAAGCGAAACAACGCTGTTCGAAAATTTGTCCCGCGAGCCCGTCGAAGAATATCCGGATATTCCGCCTATAAAGTAGAGCGAGATCGCCTATTTATTTAACGAATTGAACGTCGGACGTGTACAAAGACTCGCGTTGCCTGGTTGAAATTACAATTTCCTTCGAACGTCTGGTACTGGAGTATGTGTTTGTGTTTCGGTAAGATAACACGCCTGGTTATATCGTTCACATAGTTAAACAACCGGTTTGATGAGAGTCGAGTAACTAAATTGGACTGACCATCGCGTTTACTTCATACGAACGTAATCGGAAATTCGCACAAAAACAAAATACCTCACTGTGCTTGCAGTGTGATTTGCAAAATAAAAATCGATAATAGCCAGCAACTATAAAATCATTAGCGATCGGGGGAAAGAAATTTCACACTGGATTGAAAGTTAAAAGCCTCGATCGAAAACTTTTAATTGATTTTTTACAAAAATTTTTCAACTAACAAAGATTAAAATGTTGATTGACAGATGGGAGGAAAAGTCATTGAAAAGGATGGTAAGAGTGAATATTATTACTTTGCATTTAATGTTGGGTTAAGGGAAAGAAACTTAACACATTAAAAATGTTCGATAATTCAGTGGTGAATTTGTTAGTTGAGAATATTTCAAATTAAAGTAGCTTTGTTGGTAATTTTAGAGGTATTAGGGTTCTTCTATAAACAATATTGCAACGCGTTGTAAGTTTAGAGTTGTCGGTCACCGGTGACCACCGTGGCAATCAATGTGTTAATGATTTAAACAGGGATTTATTTTACAATATTTTGAATTAAACTAGCGTTATTTGCAATTTTATAAATAATAAGTATTAAGGTTTCTCGATGACCATCATGGCAATTGTTAACCCTCTATGGGGCCCATGTAACTTTCAAGTGACATGCTAATATATCGACATTTTACAAAATAATTTTAGTTTCCTCGCAAGATGATACTCTGACATACTCAATAACAATATTAATAACCTGACATATCAAAGTAAATGCCTC